TATTCTATCATATTCACAGATTAAATTTTGTATTTACTTCTTAGTAAAGAAGTTTATACATTTTATAAAATACAAACTTTTAATGACTTTAGATTTTATGCACAATACATGTATATTTTTTTTAATAAATATTTCAAAGTTTTTATTTAATAAATTCGGTTTATCGAAACAGATTTACTTTCGATTTATCGAGGCGGGTTTACTATAACTGTTCCCAAATTCAGATTTTAATTACGTTACCGTTACGTATTGCTTCAATTTAAAAGGGAGTTGGCTGTGTTCGTATCGGTATATTTTTTCTGAGTTTGCCTTTGACGGTAATTTGATCACTAAGATTCCCCAAAAAACTTTGTAAAACATGACAATCGCCCCATAGAAAATCACTTGGCTACATGAACATGTACGTTCATGTATATCGATACGTATATGCACAATTAGACAATCCTGCATTTTCATATCCCTTATCTCAAGCTCGAAATCCAAAAACAATTGCAATCGACAAAATTTTAAACTCGCTTTATTAATTGAATATATTCGGCATTGAAGCTTGAGAATTTTCTTTTTTTTCGGTCGCTCGAGGACGTTTGTTACATGAAAGGCACACTTAATCGACACTTGGAGTAACAGATAATATATTACACATCCAATTCCAACTCATACGTATATACCAATACCAAAGAAAAGATCAAGAAAATACATGTACATTAAAAAAAAGAATGTCGTCATCAACAATCAATAACATTATATACGGAAAAAGTGCATTCGAATACACGGTGCCGAACGTATCCACAATAACACAATCAGTGTTCACACCGCCGATAGCGACTGCTTCTGATATATTTTGGGAATTGGAATTCATACCGGTATATAAAATATTTCTTCTCTTTTTTGTTATCGACGTGTATTTATTACAGAAAATTATTTTGTTTGATGTGTCTAAGTCATATGAACACGATCCCGACCACTGCGCATTGTTTCTTTCGGCGATACCTAATCCGGAAGAAGCTAAAACGTTGGATTGGCCAATGCGCAGTATAATATCGACGGTGGTTTTTATTAAAGATCCGGAAACTAATCGGGAGATCGAGCGGCGAGATATTGATCATTATTTTTCGCCAAAAGCGCCAAGTTGGGGTGAAGTATTTTATCGATTTTCGATATATATTAATTAAATCTAGCAAATTTATTATATAAATAATATTTTTTGTATAGGTTTTTTTCATTTCTTCAAAAGGTCAGAAATTCCAGAACATGACACACTAACAATCGGTATAGAATTTCAACAATCGGAAATGCCGACCTTCAGTTGCGAACAACCATTTCCAAGTAGACGAATGCCCGAAGACTTGATAGATGCATGGATTGAACAAGTGGACAACCCAGAAACATCGGATATCAGATTTAATCTAAACGGTCACTTTATCTATGCGAATAGTGCGATCCTTTCCAAGAGATCAAAGTATTTCGCCGGTATGCTCGAAGGCGAGTGGTCTCGCCAACGGCCCGGAAGTCGAGCATCAATGCGAAGCGAGCATTCTCTACGGTATTATGATCAGGCTCCATCAAAGTACAAGTACACGGTAGACGTGATGGAATTTCATCATGAAACTTTTTTGGAGATGCTGCGGTTTTTATATACGGACCAGATAACATTCGATGATGATAAAGAATGTCATCGTACGGCGTTGGATATATTTTCTATCGCAGATAAATATTTCATTGGGGACTTAAGAAAACGGTAACTTCAAGTTGAAAATTTTTTGTTTTTGAAATCAATTTTAATTTCTGTTTAATAAGAAATTCTCACTCAAATTAGTGCCAAAATGGAAATCTTTGAGAATTTGCGTTTAGACAATGTAGCCGAGGTACTCTTCGGTGAAGCATGCAAATGGGGCGACCTAAAGGAAGATGTTCTAAAATATTTTGTAGAGAATTTCGCACAAGTCAAAGAGACCGAGGAATTTAAGAGCATATTATTGAATCCTCGCGAGTACCCGAGGTTTAGTGAGGTTTGGTTAGAAATTATGCAGCTGGTACCGGCTCAAGTAAAAGAATGAAAAGAGAAAAAAATAGAAATTTTGGATAGAATGTTATTTATAGTATAAAGTTTAAATTTTTTTTATTAATAAGTAGCTTTAAAAATTTGGTGCTTATCGTTATATAGAGTTAATACTTGAATAGGGGTGCTTTAGAGGTCTGACTGTATAAATATTTTGTCAAAACATTTTTATATTGAACTCAATCTTGCAATTTCAAGTTGAGAAAATTATTTTCTTTAGAAACTCGTAGCAATTTCAAATAATTCCACGCAATTTTAAACTGTGCTTAAATACGTGGTATCACCATCTTTTGCATGATTAGTATTACTGTTACCACTACTATCACTATTATTTTGTGCATTACCGTTACCTGCTGATGATGGATTAGCAAACTCCATAACTTCACTCATCAACTCTTCAAAATTATCAAATCTCATCGGATTATTCACCAAATTCTTCCACTCCTCAGTCTCTTTAACTTTTAGCCAATTATCCTTCAAATACTCCATCAAGCACTCTTTCAAATCCGGCCACCTAGCCACTCCGCCAAACAGAAATTCAGCGACATTATGTACCGACAAATTTTCACATAATTCCATCTTCGCACGATCTCGTAATTCTGTGACGCAATATTTATCCGCCACAGAAAATATGTCGTATGAGGTGGTTTGAGAGTCGTCGCTATAATCGTCGAATGTCACTTGATTTGTGTAGAGAAATCGTAATAGTGCAAGCATTGTTTCGTGGTGAAAGTCGGGCACTTTTACAGTGTATTTGCATTTTTTAAGTGATTGTTGTTGTAGGATTGTGCTAACAGGGTCTTCGTCTTGAAACATTATAGATTCTGCATCTTCCTTCTGTTTTCCTTTGGATGTTGAACACAATATTTTTAGAGGGTCCTCGTGAGATTCTTCTGCCCAATGACCTTGAAACAAATTGCAGAAATAATCTGATCGTTTCGCGAGAATTCCACTATTTGCATATAGTTTATATCCATTAACAATGAATTCGACATCTGCTGTTTCTGCGGCACCTAATTGTCCATTCCAGGCATCAATTAAATCTTGTGGGAAAGAGTCGGCTGGAAGTTCATTATCATGTCGAGATTGTACGAGTTCTGATTCAGTAAATGTCACACCAAAGATTATTTCCTCGCCTATTACTAATTCTCGTTTACACATTCTACGTGATCCTATCAAATAATAATCGTCAGAATTTCAGAATGAAAAAATATTCCTTGTGTGTTATCTTGAATATACAAAATAATACCTTGCCCTCTCCAACGAGATGCGAATCTATCAGTACGAACATCATAGCTCTCATACTCTGAGTCATCTTCAGCATCTCGCAAAAATAACGTCGCATTTAGATTACTACGTCTTGGCCATTTAGAGGGAATGCGTTTCTCTTCACTATTTGGAATTGCAAATAGAAATAGTGCGCAATGATCTGTATGGCCTGGTGAGCACTTTAATTAAGTTATTATTAGAATTGAAATTAACTTTTAAAATGACCTCAAATATTAAATCTATAATTAATTACATTCAAAAACTTACTGGCGTAAATTTCAATTGCCAAAACATGTCATACGACGTCGCAAAAGGAGGACTAAACACTGGTCCAGTTACTTTTGAAAAATCAATTGTGAATTGGTGGCTGCTTTTCCCTTTTATAATTGCTTCTGACGAATCAGTGTCGTTGATATTTGACATTTTTTCGTATCTATATGAAAGAAAAAAAAAATCAAATTATTATCCACTATTAAGCATCAATTTTATGTGCAGTTAGTCAAAGACTGTATACATAGCTTACATTTTTTTAGACAATTTCAAATGTTTGAATGATTGTTTTGTTTATTGACAATTCAACCGTTTTTAGCAAAATATACTGTTATCGTTAACCAATCAAGTGATAAAATTGTACATGTACGTATTTGTGATGCGCGTAGTACAGATGAGCTATCGTTATCGTTACATATTAAAATTTTCGACTTTTTAACTCCCCCCCCCCCCCCCGGGGGGGGGGGGGGATTCGGTATTTTTTTATTTTACTGCTGGAATATCAAAAATGTAAATAGTACATAAACAAATACCCAAGCAACTTCATTTGTTGATTTTAAAGCAACAAACGTGTGATGACTAAAAATATCCACAAAATTCTTGTACATGTATATGGTGCATAAATCTAAAGTCATCAAACGTTTGTATTTATAAAAGTATAAACTTCTTTACTAAGAAGTAAATACAGAATTTAATCCGTGTGTATGATAGAATAGGCCTTTTCTGAGCATATTCACAGATTAAATTTTGTATTTACTTCTTAGTAAAGAAGCTTATACTTTTATAAAATACAAACGTTTGATGACTTTAGATTTTATGCACATATTAAGTTTCAACTTTGCTAAAAATTTGATGTAAATGGAAACCAGTGGTACATTCCAGATTTGGTCTCTTTGCAAATATGAAATTTTATAAGAACAAATTGAGGAGCAATAATCCAAAAGCATTGTGTTAAACCAGGGTTAGCAACTTTCATATATTCATTTGCCAATATATTATTATAATTAATGTGAATTTGACTTGGAAAGTTAATCTGATTTTATTCAAATTAATCCAGATTTTAAAATAACATGGAAGTTTTACACGCAGTTTCAATTTATAAAATAAGTAAATAAATAAAATATGTGATATATGATTTAATTTTCATAGTCTTTTATTAGATTGTTATATAAAACTGTTAATTAATTTAATATTTTATATACATAAAAAAAATAAGAGTTATTTGGTAGACTAAAACAAAGTTTTCTATTATTAAGAAAAAATAATTAATAATATTTACTTAATCTTTATACAGATTTTAAATAAAGTGTGATTAAATATAATATAGTCTATTTGATTCATTTCTCTATCTTAAAAATATTAGAATGTTTACTAACAAATATCTAAACTTGTATTTCAGTTGGCAAATTTATTTGCTAAAATTTTTTTTAGCTTATTTTTGTATATTTACTTCTAATTTTTATAAGATTAACCTAATCCTTCTTTTTCTAAGCTAAAATAAAAATATAGCATATTTTAATTAATATAATATAAAATTTGTAAATTTATTTCACAATTGCTCAAAATATTTGATTAATTTTTTGATCAATTCTATAATTTTATTATAAAATATTTTTAAACTTTAAGAATAATAATAAAAATTTTTTAAAATTACTTATTTTTAACTTATAGATAACTATAATTTTTTTATAATTATTAAAAAAACTAAGTTTAAACAAACTTTTTTTAATATATTTTAATTTTTAGTAAAAATATATTAGATATAAATTTATAGAATTTAGCAAGCAAATTTGTCTACTAAATCTAATAGATTAAAAGATAATAAATTTTTTTAATTTTTTAATTATACTTTTAATTTACTTTTAATTATCAGTTAATATATCAAAAAAATTATTATAATATTTACTGAAAAGTAATTAAAAAATTTTATTAATTAGAATTCAAGTAAAATATTTATATTACTAGTTTTATTAATTATAAATAAAGAATTTTTAATTAAAAATTTTAATATTATTAATTTCTTAAAAAAACTTTAATAAATTTTTTTTGGTAAAATATTAAATTATTTTAGAGATAATATAGATATTTATTATTGTATAATAGATTTTTTATTTTTTAATATTAATATATATTTTAATATAAATTATATATTACTAAAACAAAAAATTATTTAATTAATTTAAAATATAATTATATAATTAAAAATTCTCATATATTTTATAATTTAATATTTAACTTTATATAATTAAATATAACTTAAAATAAAAAATAATTAAAGATTTAAAAATAAATTAAAATATTTAAAGATTTTAGATCTAAAAATATTGTAATAATTATTACAAATTTGTATTAATTAATATAAATATTAAAAAATTATTATATTTTTATTAAAAAATTTGAAAATTATCTTTAAGTTATATTTCTTAAAATTTATTATTTTCAAGATTTTCATAATTTAAATTATTAAAAATATTAAAAATATTATTATTATTATAATTATAATTACAAGTATAGTTATATAATTTTTATTTTAATATTATATTTTTAGTTAATTTATAATCAAGTAATATATAATTTGTTTTTAGATTTTTATTATATTATTTTTTTATATATAAAATATTACTATTTATTAAAAAATTATTTAAAAAATATAATATAAAATTAATATAATAATTAACTTAATTTAATTTAATTAGAATTTAATTTTAAAAACTTATAATTTTGTAAAAAATAATATATAATATTTTAATATTTATAATATTTATAATATTTTATTAATTATTATTTCTAATATATAATTAGAATAAAAAGTAATAGCAAATATATTTTTTGCTTATATTTTATTAGAAAATTTTTAAAAATTTAAAAATTTGTACAATATTATATAATATAAATTATTCATATTATATTAAAATTTATTATAGATCTTATATATATTAATTAATTTAACCAATTAAAATTCTTTATTTTATATTAGTAAATTTTAAATTATTATAACTTTTAAAAAAAAATAAAATAAAATTCTCTTATAGAATTATAGCTTTACTAAAAAAATCAATTTGTAAAAGAATTTTTTTATATAATTATTAATTATTAAGTAATTAAACTTATATAATTTATACTGTTCAGTACTATAAATATAGTTTTTAAAATATTAAAACAAGATATTTAATATTATAAAGAATATAATATAATAAATTATAATATTTAATATTTATAAAATTTTGTAATATAAAAAATATATTCACAATTAAAAAAATTTTTGGTTTATTTTTATTTAATAAATAATCAAAAAAATTTTATTTTAATAATTTTTATTAATAAATATAACTAAATATAAATAAATTTATTAATAAAGTCTTTAAATAATTTTTATTAAAGAAAAATTAATTTAAAATTATAAATATTTTTTATATTACAAAATATATTCTTTTAAAATTTCTTATTAAACATATTTTT